TGAGGGGTGGGTGGGAGCAGGCGTTGTCTGGTGAGGCCTGGGCGGGTGGAGTGGGAGTTGCCGGGTATGTGTGGGCAAGTGGATGCGTGACCTGGTGGTGTGTGGGCGTGGTCCGGAAAGGTGTGGGTGTGGAGGGGGCGTGGCCAAGGGCCTTGACCAGTCGCTGCGGGGCACCTGTCCTCCAGCTTCAGCTCCAGCGGCTGTGTCTCTGGGACACACATCCCGGCGTGCAGCCCTCTGTCCAGCACCCGTGGCAGGAGCCCCCGGCTCCTGTGCCTTCCAGGGAGGGAGAAAGCTCGCCATCCCCGAAGGCCCAGTCGGCCCTCAGCTCCAGGCGTCGGTGCAGGGGCGGGTTGGCCGGCCCTCTCCGGGCCTCTCCCGCCAGTCCCACTGGAGCCCTGGGGGACTAGCGCTGGGCGAGCGTGCGCCGTGCCAGGAACCTCGGGGTCCTGAGCTCCTCGGGCGGGCGGTATAGAGCCGGGCCCCACGGAGGCTCTCCCCGCAGGTGGACCCCAAGCCCTTCTACGAGGCCTGCGTCCACGACTCGTGCTCCTGCGACACCGGCGGGGACTGCGAGTGCTTCTGCTCCGCCGTGGCCTCCTACGCCCAGGAGTGCACCAAGGAGGGGGCCTGCGTGACCTGGAGGACGCCGGAGCTGTGCCGTGAGTGTGGGCGCCAGCGGGCGGGCTGGGGCTGCTGCCCTGGGCGGGGCAGCGCCTGTGGGGGATGGGGCGCATGTGGGCCCCTCCGCCCCTGCCCCCTCCCCAGGAGGCAGGCGCCTGTGGGCCCCCTGGGCCCCTGCGGGTCGCCCTCACCGGCCTCGGGCTCGCTGAGGCTGACCCCAGCCCTGCCCCCCAGCCGTCTTCTGTGACTACTACAACCCCCCGGACGAGTGTGAGTGGCACTACGAGCCGTGCGGGAAGCGCAGCTTCGAGACCTGCAGGAGCCTCAGCGGCATCCGCTCCAACATCTCCGTGTCCTACCTGGAGGGTGAGGGGCCTGCCGGGGAGGCAGGGTCGGCGGCGTCTGGGGACGCCCGGGGTCACCCCGACACAGGCTCTGTGGGGGCCGGGGACCCCGAGTTGCAGGCTGAGGCAGGCTCACCCAGCTGCAGAATCTGTTCATCAGGCGGTGGACTTGGAGCCTGAGCTGAGACTGCCCTCGAGGGGAGAGGCAGAAAAGAAGCGCGTTACCTCAGCGCGTGTGGTCCTGTGGTCAGGAGGGGAGGGGTGGGGGGGGCAGAGCAGGACGAGGGCGCAGCATTTTAGGTGGTGGGCTGGGGAGGCCTGTGCAGGGCCTTTGAGCTGAGGACTAGCTGAGCACCAGGGACATGCAGGGGTGAGCCAGCAGAGGACCTGGGGAGGAAGCATCCTACCCCTGGGAGGTGCCCGGCCTGCCCCCTTCCTCGGGATGGGCAGGGCCTGGCTGTCCACCAGCAGGTGGGCGGGGCCTGGCTGTCCACCAGCGGGTGGGCGGGGCCTGCCGGCCCTTTGGCTGGCGGAGTGGCAGTGTCGGGACCCCAGAGGAGGGAGCCAGGCCCCTGCCTTTCCAGGCCCTGGCCTTCCCAGAGGAACATCCTGGAGGGGTGGACCGGCCAGGCTGGGGAAGACCGCGGGTCTGGTGGACAGGGGGTCCTCTGTGGTGGTCTAAGTACAGCCCTGTGCCCACCAGGCTGCTACCCCCGGTGCCCCAAGAAGAGGCCCGTCTATGACGAGGACCTGAAGAAGTGTGTCAGAGGGGACGAATGCGGCTGCTACGTCGAGGACACTCGCTACCCACCGGGAGTGTCCGTGCCCACGGAGAAGCCCTGCCAGTCTTGGTACCTAAGCTCACATCGCAGGGGGTCTGGGGGAGGGCGGTGCACACGCACACCTGCATCTGCATACAGGCACACACGCTGGCACACAAAGTTCACGGTCACACGTGGACACGGGGCTACACACAAGCACACGCGGCGCACATGCTGACCTGTGGGTGCGCAGGTGCACGCTGCACACAGGAACCGGGGGGCGGGACACAGCCCCCTTCTCGGGGAGAGCCGTGCGCCGTGCTTTCTCACACCCCCTCACCTCCTGCACACTCCGTGGGAACCCAGATGGGGGCTCCTGGAGCAGGCCTTTGGTTCGGGCTGTGCCCTGGGGCTTTGGGCATACACGGGGCTTGGGCAGGAAAGGCCAAGGCTGGCTGGGAGGGGCCAGCTTTCCCCGGGCCTGCAGCTTTTGCACTTGCTTTCCAGCGAGTGTACCAAGTCCTCGAAAGTTGTCTG